TTGTTTTGGTTGAATTAAAATCCAAACAAGTTCCACTCACTGAATTTGTTATGACTCCTAAATCTGTTTAAATCACAATGGTCCTCTCTTTTGTCAGTTATTTATTGGGGAAATCAGATCATTTGTGCTGTGACATATGCCATCTTATGGATCATTCCTTCTTGTATTGCTGAACTTGTTCTATTTCCATACTTTCTGTATACCAATGGAATACGCATCCAAAGTATAATAACAAAAGCAATATACTGATTAAAAAACACTGGAAAATGACTAATCAATGGAAATTGGGAGCCAAGACACATCTATGCATTTGATTTTTTTTTTCATACCAGGGATTGGACCCAGGTGTGCTTAACCACTGAGCCACAGGCTTAGTCCTTTTATTTTTTGAGACAATATCTCACTAAGTTGCTTTAAGTTGCTGACACTGGCCTTGAACTTGCAATCCTCCTGTCTCAGCCTCAAGAGCCACTGGGATTACAGGTGTGAGCCACCATGCCCAGCTGCATTTATGATTTTTTAAAGTAACAATGCAATCAGTGGGAAAGGAACTTCTCAATAACTGATATAGGAATGGTAGGCATATGGAGATAAAAATTATGTGATGTAATAATACTTTAATGATTCCATGAGTTGATTTTAATTAGCAACTATAAGATAGAGGGAAAGAAAGAGGGAGAGTGAAAGCAGCCAGTTAAAATTAAAGGTAAATTCTGAGTTTCAAGGAAAAGTGGTGCAGTGATAATGGATGTGGCTACTCTGGAATTCTATTCACACGATTACAATCACATTACAATTTTATCAGGGCAATGGGCTCGGGTTCAATTGAAGCAGCAATGCTAGAGGAGCCACAGGAGCAGCCAGCTGCCCCACTTCCCAGCTAGAGTGACTTTTAGGAAAAAATGGATCAACCAACTTTTATTTTAAAATATATCCTGAGGCCTGGGGTTGTGGCTCAGTGGTAGAGCACTCACCTAGCATGTGCAAGGCCCTGCGTTTGATCTTGAGCACCACATAAAAAATAAATAAAGGTATTGTGTCCAACTACAACTAAAAAATATATTAAAAAACACATCCCTAAGAACTGTCCTTAACCACAGTGGACCAAGGACAGGGGTTTGTGTCCTAATCACACATCAGAGACCCCTTTTAAACACTATCTTAACCTCCCATTTATACTAGCATTGATCGACTGTGAAGTGACCGTTGCAGGAGATGAGAGAAACTGAAGACTTCTGTGCTTGTGTCAGAACTAGATCTTTCTAGCCACAAACTTGTAAGGCTGGCATAAAGACAGTGAGATGCTGTTCAGTATTCCCCACTTGGAGTTTCTGAGTTCCAACCCTGAGTTTCTCAGTTTTAGAAAAACCATTTGCCAGGTCTTTCTCTGGGGTTTGAGATCTTGACCTTGACAACAGCAAAGCTTCTTGGGCAGGAGGCCACATATGCTCCACAAATTAATGGATTCTCAGGAGCTCTTCTCATGCCTCAGCACCCTGAGGCAGCATCTTGTTCTTTTATTTGCTGTGTTCTCTTAAGTTAGCACATCAATACAGCCACAACCTTCAAGACCAGACAATGAAAAAGTTGGGAGTCTCATTTCTTCCACTGGATACACCTGTCAATGTTTCTCAGGAGCCTGATGACTTAGAGGCAGTGTCATTTTCTAATCTACATCCATTAATCACTGTAAGTCAGTGCTCCAAGGAAGACACTGATAAATTCATTCCTGAATGCTTAAGAAGTGAGACTGTTAAGAATTCCCTTCTGCAGCACTGTGCCTCTGATAAGCAAAAACTATTGCCAAATTGCTGCATCAGTTTCCAGGCAATGGCAGGGATTCTGAGATTTAGATTTTTTTACTATGTGCATTTTCCATGGTAAGCGATGCCATTCAGGCATTGGAGACATCATGAACTGATCCCAAAATGGAAGTGGGAGCCTTTGGCAGAATAGGACAATGTAAAACTAGAACTCTACTGTAAAGATCAGGTGAAAGAAATGAGCACTCACCTGTACTAAAGACTTGCAGAACTACAGAAACAATTTAAAACTACTGAAATCCACCACAAGCAATATGTTTTTCTATTATTTTGACTCTATAAAGTGCCCTTTGCCCAAAGAAAATGAATTATACTTTGAGGCATTATATTCTGCACTAATTTCCTCAGACTGAATTCAGTAACAAATTATCTCAAACATACGTGGCTCACAGCACCTATGTTTCTCACAATTCTGGAGCTGACAAGTCAGGAACCGAGGTGTGGACAGAGCCACATTCACTGAAGACTCTAGGGGTGTGCTTTTCCTTGCCTCTTCCTAGCCTCTGGCAGTCTCTGAAAGCTTTGGGAACTCCTTGGCTTGCCATGGTGTCACCTTGGCCTCTGTCTTCACTCAGCCTTCCCCTGTGCACACACCCAGCTCCTCTTATAAGGACACCAGACATTGAATCAGGACCATCATCCCATTCAGTACAACTTCATCTTACTGGATTAAAGATCCTATTTCCAAATATGATCACATTTGCAGGAATGAGGGTTTAGGACTTTTGAACAATAGCTTTTGGGGAAACAAAAAAAGTTAGGTGGAATCCAAAACAAAGTAACCTTTAGCAGCCCTGTAAAAGCACACACACAAGGACTTCTTGCAGGATATTTCTTCAACTTGGTTTTGTTTCAGAAGGAGAAAGCTGTTTTAAGTTGGGAGAGACATAGTATTGTAATATTTTACCTCAATGTGGATAGGGAACTATTTTTGGTATTTTCTACCATAAATGTCTTCAACTCAGAAGAATTGTTTTCATCCCAAAGCATTTTCTAAGTTTCCTGTGACAGTCTTGCCCCTGTGATTTTTAAGAGTGTGTGAATTTTCCAGTTTTCCTCCCATTATTGATTCACTTCAGTTAATTGTGGTCAGAGAATATATTGTATATGTTTATCATTCTACTGAGACCTGAGATTTATTTTTATTTGGACCTGTGTTATGGTCTAGTGATCTATCCTAAAAAAATATCCCATATGCCCATGACAACAATGTGTATTGTAATTTCTATGATAATCACTAAAACAACAATAAAAGAAGCACAATAGGTCAAGTATGGACATAATATGAAATCATTAGAAATTTCAAATTAATTGGTGAAGAAGATATAAGGAGGAAAGGGAAGGGAGAAAAAGCAGAAGGCAACTAAAAGTATGGGTTAATATCTGATCATGTCAATAATTACATGAAACATGACATATACCCACCAATAACAAGGCAGAAATGGTCACACTAGAGAATAAAACAACAATGATCTAAGCTAAAATGGCTATATTAATATTAGGCCAACACAAATAAAAAGAAAGCTAGAAACTGGGCCCATTAGTGCACATCTATAATCCCAGCTAACTGAGGCAGGAGCACTGCAAGTTTGAATCCAGTCTAAGCAACACAGTAAGGCCCTGTCTCAAAAACAATAATAAAAACAAACAGAAAGGAATGGTGATATTAAAAGTAAACAGGGCCTGGGGCTGTAGCTCAGGGGTAGATTGCCTAGCATGCATGAGGCACTGGGTTCGATCCTCAGCACCACATAAAAATAAATAAAATAAAGGCATTCTGTCCATCTACAACTACAAAAAATTTTTTTTAAATAAAAAAAATAGAAGTAAACAAAGTAGACACGAAAACAAGAAAATTAACCTGGGAAAAGAGGACCCCTGAAATAATAATAAAAGGAGTAATTTCACTAAAAAGGTATAAAATTAAATGTGTATACACAAAACAACAGAACTTCAAAATACATGAAGCCAAAACTGGTAGACTGAAAGACTAATCAGATCCACAATTACAATCAGAGACTTTGTGCTCACTGGTTAATGCAATAAGTGGAAAGAAAACCAGCAAGGATACAAAAGTCTCAATAACTCTATTAATAAACCTATTTATAAAATGTTCTAGCCAACAACAGCAGAATATGCTTTTTTCTCCAATGGCAAATGGAACATACATTAAGATAGATCATATTCTGGGCCACAATAACTAACTGCAATCAATTTAAAAGAACTGAAACAACACTAGTATGTTCTCAGAGTACAACAAAGTGAAATGAGAACCAATTACAAAATAATCTCAGGCAGGTCCCCAAATAGCTGGAAATCAACCCTTGGATCAAAAAAGGAAGTCACAAGGGAAAAATGGAAAAAATCATTAAAGTAAAAAATAAAATGTGAAGCTGGGGCAGCATTTAGAGGAAAATTTAGAGCATTAAATTCTTATATTGGAAAAGAAGAAAAGCCTTAAATTGGTTACCTAAGTTTGTACCTTAAGAAACTAAAAAGGAGAAAATTAAACACAAACCAAAAAGAAGGTAGAAAATAATAAAGATAAAAACAGAAGTTAAAGAAGAATAATAGTCAAAAAATCAATAAACTATGAAAAGAAAAAGTAGAAATTACTAACTGCAGGACTTAAAGACATGATGACAGATCCTAATGATAGTAAAACAATAAAGAAAATTATGAACAACTTTATGTCATGTGACAATTTGGGTGAAATGGACAAATTCCTTAAAAGACACAAATCCCAAAAGAAACAAGGCAATCTGATTATTCCTGTATCTAACAACACTGAATTCCAGCTTAAAAAGAAAAAAAAAACTCCCAAAATAACAACAGGCCTCAACTCTTACATCTATCAAACACTAAGGACACCCTTCTCCACCACCAATTCTGCACAAATACTTTAGGAAAATAAAGAGGATAGAACACTGTCCAACTCATTTTATGAGGCCATCATTATTTTGTTACCAAAATAAGAAAAAAATATATGACACGAAGACAACAGACCAATAATCCTTATGCAAACTCAATATTAACAAATAGAATACTACATATGAGGATGTATCATGATCAATTGGATTTATCTCAAGAATGCAATGTTACTCCAACATTTGAAAATGAATGAGTAATAAGTAGAAAAACTACATGACTATTTTAATAATATGCAGAAAAAAAGCATTTAAGAAAATGCAACATCCATTTATTGTGAAAATTTTGCAGCAAACTAAGAAGAGAGGGATTTTCCTTAACTTCATATAAAGGCTGTGACAAAAACCTCCAGCTAATATAACACCTAAAAGACTGGGCTGGGGACATAGCTCAGTGGCAGAGCACATGTCTAGCATGCACCAAGCTCTGTATTCAATCTCCAGTACCAAAAAAAAAAAAAAGACTAATTTCTAAGATCAAGAAAAAGGACATTCCCTCTCAGCTCTTCCATGCAACAGCTTTTTGGAAGGCTTAAAAAGTGTAATAAAGATGTGAATCTGCAATATGTATACGGGGTAAAAATGGGAGTTCATAATCTGCTTGAATCAAATGTATGAAATATGATATGTTAAGAGCCTTGTAATGTTTTGAACAACTAATAATAAAAAAAGTATAATAAAGAAATAAGCAAACGTGCAAAAAACAAACTGGAAAAGAAGAAATAAGTATCTCCATTTTCAGACAACCTGATTATATAGAATCTATTTAAAAGGTACCAGACTAGTGAGTTTAGATAGGTCTAGAGTTCTAGGAGTACAATATTAATATAAATAAAATGGATTTCTATATACTAGAAATAAACAAGTAGAAACCTGTAATATTAAGATTTCAGAAAACTTTTCACTACAAATCTAACAAAACACAAAGCAGTATCTGTGCACTGAAAAATAAAAATCACTAGTGAAATAAAACACCTAAGTCAACAGGAAGGAGATAGATGAATGGGAAGACACAAACATGCCAAGTCTTCCAATACACTTCCCATTAAAAGCCATGCAGGTTTTTTTTTTTTCCAATCAACAAAATGATTCTCCAAATTACATGGAAAAACAAAGAACTAGAATAGCTAAAGCAATTTCGAAAAAGCAAAGTTAGAGAACTCATGCTACCTGATTTAGAGACTTACAATTAAGCTATAGTAATAAGTGGCATTGGTGAAAGAATTAAGATCTTAAATATCAATATTAAATTTTCCTGAATATTATAGCATAGCTGTTTTAAGTAAATATTCTTATTCTTAGGAAAATATACTTTGTATTGAGTGTAAGGGCAAGATGACTGCAATATATTCTTGTGTGGTTAAGAAAATAGTGTGTATACATATGCACATCCAGATAAGTGAAGACTGACTCAATTGTGTTAAGATGAATCTGGATAAAAGGTATGTGAGAGAATTTATATAAATTTTACAGTTTTTCTAAGTTTCATATGATTTCAAAATAAAAAAATATAAACATATGAATCAAAATCTCATCATTTAGAGATAATTAGAAATATCTATACATCTATACTTTTTCTTAAAAAAAATAGGATTTCACAAAGACTCATGTTTTATGTTTTCCCAGATTAATAAATTCTGAAAATCTTCCAACCTCTGTAAATACAAATTTACTTTCTCTCATTTAGTGTTTGTATAGTATTCCATGCAATGATAATGCATAAAATACCTTGGCAATCCAACTGGTTATTTGTTTGCTACTAAAACAATGATTCAATTAATATCTTTTCTTATATATCATGGCAGACATAAATTTACATTTGAAGATCAAAACTTCATCTCTGAGAATCTACTACTTAATTATAGCCCTTTATACTACATAAAATAATCATGTTGTACATCCTTAGTAACAGGAAATTTTTAGTCAGCAATTTTATTTTTCTATAGCTTTACAGCTTTTTAGTAAAAATAATGACCACTGTAAGTATAAAAGGAAAGTTAAAGGAAAAATAGTTCAAAACCCTTCCTGATCAAAAATAATAACTAGTTAACATATGGCAAATATCCTTTTATACAATACCTTTGCGCATAGAGTCACACTGAAAGATGGTCATTTATATTAACTGGATTTTGCCAACAGGATGCAATATCAATTTCTTCCCGAAATTTGAATTCTAGTCCTGTTACTCTGGTTCTACGTCATCATTTTAAAGTATGTGTTAGATTCTGAGTCTGAAGAAAACCCCTTCAACTCTCGATATTTTAATAGGGTTTCATCACCAGCACAGACTCAAAAAACTTGAAGTTGTACATTCTGGCAGAAGTCAACAAAAAAATTTTCATTTCTTGAGTTTTTTGCCAATGTGGACTTTCTGGTGGTATGTAAGACGAGACCGGTGACTGAAGTCCTTGCCACATACATCGCATTTGTAAGGTTTTTCTCCAGTGTGGACTCTTTGGTGGGCTTGAAGGCGTGCACTCTGACTGAAGCCCTTCCCGCATTCCTCACATTTAAAGAGTTTCTCCCGGGTGTGAACACTCAGATGGACTCGAAGATTCGAGGGAAGACTAAAGGCTTTACCACACTCCTCACACTTATGAGGTTTTTCTCCTGTGTGGACCCTCTGGTGATGGCGAAGATTCAAGCTCCTACCGAAGCCCTTCCCACACTCCTCACACCTGTAAGGTTTTTCTCCAGTGTGTCCTCTCTGATGGTATATAAACTGGGAACTGTATCTAAAGCCCTTTCCACACACATCGCATTTATATGGCTTCTCCCCAGTGTGGACTCTCTGATGGGACTGGAGGCCCGAGGACTGACTAAAGCCCTTACCACATACACCACATTTGTATGGTTTCTCTCCAGTATGGACTCTCTGATGGACCCGAAAATCGATGGCCTGACTGAAGCTCTTATCACACTCCTCACATTTGTAGGGCTTCTCTCCCGAGTGGACTCTCTGATGAGCATGAAGATTTGACCTCCAGCTGAAGCCCTTCCCACACTCCTCACATTTATATGGTTTTTCTCCAGTGTGAATTACCTGGTGAAGTTTCAGATTTGAACTGTAACTGAAGTCCTTGCCACACACTTCACATTTGTATGGTTTCTCTCCCGTGTGGACTCTCTGATGGGTTTGAAGCTTTGAGGACTGACTGAAGCCCTTCCCACATATTTCACACTTGAATCGTTTCTCTCCAGTGTGGACATTCTGATGGACTTGAAGATTTGAGGCCTGACTGAAGCCCTTACCACACTCCTTACATTTATAAGGTTTCTCTCCTGTGTGGACTCTGAAATGGATATGAAGATCTGTATTTCGGGTAAAGCCTTTCCCACACACCTCACATTTATATGGCTTCTCCCCAGTGTGGACTCTGCGATGGCATATCAGTGGTGAATTGTGGCTGAATCCCTTACCACACACATCACATTTGTAGGGTTTCTCCCCAGTGTGGACTCGCTGATGGATGTGGAAATGTGCAGCCTGAGTGAATCCCTTCCCACACTCCTCACATGTATAAGGCTTTTCGCCCCTGTGGACCCTCTGATGGACACGGAGATTAACACTCCAGCCAAAGCCCTTGCCACACTCTTCACATTTGTATGGTTTTTCTTCAGTGTGAACTCTCTGATGGCACTGAAAATTGGAACTTTGACTAAAGCTTTTACCACACTCCTCACATTTGTAAGGTTTCTCTCCAGTGTGAGTCCTATAATGAATGATGAGACCTGTGCTGCTACTGAATCTCTTGCCACAATTGTCACATCTATAGGACTTTTCTCCTGGGTTAGACTGGTGAGAATAAAAAGGGTTCTTATTGAAGCAATCACCAGATTCCTGACACTTACCCAGTTTCTCTCCTGGGTGAACTCTCTGATGAGTTTGCAGGTATGTGTTCTGACTGAAGCACTTCTCTCCTGTGTGAACCTTCTGATGAAGGTGAAGCACTGGACTATAATGGACGCTCATTCCATACTCACTACATGGATGTGGTTTCTCTTGAAAGGGTAACTGCAGATTGGAGCCACAGATATCGTTCCTGCCACATTTGTCGCATTTGCAGGGCTTTTGCTCTGTCTCATTTTTAACGTGTTCACTGATTGGTGATTTCCTCATCAAGTCTTCACACAAATGCAGACTGCTTTTCACATCAATTTGCTTATCTCTACTGAGATTCTGTGACTTGCTCAGATATGCATTCTGGCAAGAATCCTGGGTTCTTAAAGTTGAAAACTCTTCATTTTCAACATACCTGGAACCATTTCCTTTATGGTTCTTTATAATGCTCTCACTTTCAAAAACCTGAATGGAATTACCTTGTGATAACTGGAAATTCTTCCTCTGAAGACATCTGGTTAATTCACTTGCAACCTGTTTCCAGATTTGCCAGCAGGATAGCTCTGCATGTGAAATGTATTTTAATGCAAATTTTTGAAGAGTTTCCATCTCATTTTTTCTTGTATTGCCTATAAGAGAAAGCAACATTCAGAAATAAGGACAGGTTAATACTTTCTTTAGAAATGTTAGAATTTCAGAGTAGGGGCCAGATTAAGTAGCACGTGCCTATAAACCTAGAGTCTCAGGAGGCTGAGGCAGGAGGATCACAAGTTGAAAGCCAGGCTTAGCAACTTAGTGAAATCCTTTCTCAAAATAAAAAATAAAAAGGGCTGGGGATGTGACTCAGTGGTTAAGTGCCTCTGGGTTTGATCCCTGGAACCATAAAAAAAAAAAAAAAATCACAGTAAGGACATAGGGTAAGGCCTTAATAAGCAGGGGAAGAGTCATCTTTTATCCTTTTCTCATGTTTTTCATCCAGATGGAAGTAAAGAGTGGATCAAGAATCTTCTAACTCGAATGTGTAAAATGTGGCTCATTTCTAGAAGTGTAAATATGATGTTTACTATGAGAGCCACAAGCTCTCATATGGTTTCAAGACAACAAAAAAACAATCCACATTCCAACCACAATAACATAAATTGAAAGCTTATTTACCTTTTCTTTGAGCATAAAATAGTACTTTAGGTTTTGGTAGAAATTATATTTCAAGAATAATTTAGGAAATGGGACTGGGGTTGTGGCTCAGCGGTAGAGCGCTTGCCTAGCACATGTGAGGCCCTGGGTTCGATCCTCAGCACTACATATAAATAAAATAAACATATTGCGTCTAACTACGATTAAAAATTTTTTAAAAAAAGAATAATAATTTAGGAAAGTGGTTGGAATACTAACATGCATTGTTCTGAAACCTGGTAATAATTCAAGTCTGTAAAAGTAAAAGAAAAGAGAAAGCTAATCTTGTACAACGGAGAAAGAAGTTAGGAGAAGAAATAAAACAGGGCATAGTACAGGCTCTCAAAAATCAACCCTGAAGAGAGGAATTATATTTCACTTGGAAAACTCAGATTTGTTGATTCTCTCACTCCCTTTAGGTCTATGTTCAAATACCTTCCTAACATTCAATATAAAAATAATTCCACATTAACTCCTATACCTTCGATCCTTCCCATTTCCCTTATAATGCTTTATCTCTCTCCCTCTCGCAGTGCTGGGGATGCAACCCAGGGTCTTATGCATGTTAGACAAGTGCTCTACACAGGGCTCCACCCCCTAGCACCAGAAAAGCATAAACTCTGTTCCCCACTGTAATTTGACTTTTATCAAATTGTTGAGATATGTTAGTGTACTATGAAATCAATTCTGTAATTTGTGACAAACACTTTTTTGAAAAAGCAGAACAAAAACTTAAGTGTATTACAAGCAATAAGAGTACACTAAAGCTGGGCGCAGTGGTGAGCATCTGTAATCCCAGCAGTTTGGGAAATTGAGGCGCAAGGATCCCAAGTTCAAAGCTAGCCTTAGCAAAAACAGAGGTGCTAAGCAACTCAGTGAGACCACATCTCTAAATAAAAAATAGAAAGCAGGGCTGGGGATGTGGCTAGTGGTCAAGTACCCTGAGTTCAATCTCCAATATCAAAAAAGGAAAAAAAAAATACTAGTACACACAAGGTGAGGTGGTAAGCACCTCTACACTTCTAATCCCAGCTATTCAGGAAGCTGAGGCAGGATTGCCTGAGCTCAGGATTTTGAGACCAGCATGGGCAACACACTGAGACCTCCATATCAAAAGAGTACCATTATACAGAGGCTGGGGTGGTGGCTCAGTGTTAGAGGCTTGCCTGGCATGTGAGGTACTGGGTTTGATCTCCAGCAAAGAAACAAACAAACAATAAAACCCTGGCTTAAACTATTTCAAAGGGGAGGAGGGACCTTAATTATATAATTAATTTGCTTAAATGGAATTATATCCTATTAATTTAAACTCTGAAAAACTATCAACAGGCACATATGCAACTCTGGATATGGTGACCTGAATAATCCACCTCCACAAACCAGAGATGTTCAAGTTCTGAACCTGTTAATGGCCAAAGGGATTTCACAAATATGATTAAATCAAGGATTTCAAGATGGGGAGATTATCCTAGATTAGCAAAATGAGCTCAAAGTAATCACAAGATGGAGGCAGGAGGGAAACCTCTCCCATTTCACCCTCTGCACCTCTCCCTTTAGATATTTTTGATCTGTGTTCTTTTGGCTGTAATAAAACTGCTAAATAAAGCACCTTCCTGAGTTCTGCAAATCATTCTAACAAATTACCAAGGGAAGCCCCAAATTTGTATCTAGTTGGTCAGAAGTGAGTCTGAGAACCCCTAGACTTACAGCTCGTGCTGAAGGGTGTCTTGTGTAGGACTGTGCCCTTACCCTGTAAAGCCTGGCCTTGGAGTGTTTGACATCAAAAGTCATTACAGCATGTGAAGAGCTTCTCACACTGTTGATGAGCTTCTCATCAACCAAGATTAACACCAACAAGGTTTAAATCATGCTGAAAATGTTAGGTAGAAATTCCATAATTTTTCCTTTTATAGTCAGCACTCTGCTCATCTCCACAGGTATGATAGTGCACGTGGACGCTGAAAATGTCCAATCCAACACTGCTAAACTTAAAGTGTATTACAAGCAATAAGAGTACCACTAAAACTGCATATAGGATATGACTATTTAGATATTACAATAAAGGGAGGGGGAAAGCAGGAAGCTGGCTGTACACAGGGTGGTCTTCTCTAAAATGTAGCAACTTGAAGTTACTATGTGGAAACTGATGAATCATAATGCCTAGTACACTGGTATTGATAAAAATTACCAAGAGTTCAATTACAGCCTGATAATTGTGAATAAGTTTTACCTTCTAAATTTAGAAAGTCTGAATCTCTACATACCTAAAAATGTCTACAAAATTATAATTGTATAGTAATTATGTTATAATTACCTAAACATATAATTATATTTATAGATTCACTGTAAAACAATGTTCCAAAATTACCCATTAATCACTCTAGTGTGTTCTAAATCAATGAGCTATCTTTGGAGTAATAGGGATGTAAGGTCCATTTGCTTCCATTCTTCTCTGTAAGTTTTTATGAATCACTATAAAAATAAGCACTGTAATTTGTGCTCCTGTGACCTACAGGGAATATATAGATTATACAATTCCTGGATATTATTGGCACATGGGGCATGATTACAAAGTCCTTAAACATACTGATATTGAAGAAAAAAAGGAAATCTTTGAAAGGAGGACACAGAAAATGCCGCCTGATTTGTTAAAAGACCTTAATCTGTTAGGTAAAAATGAAAAATGACAATATTTAGGACTATAACCCTTGAGGTTGTTTGCATATGAAAATGAGACCCAGTCAAGTGAAGCAAGTATCTAATAATCCTGAACACATTAATCATGATGCAGCATGTAGACTAAAAGGGAGACAGACAAAAGAAGAGTGGTTATATTCATTAACCACTCACAGAATTCAGGGCCTCATCTGGTGTGCTTGTAGACAAGCCTCTATTTTGTTTTGGGGGTTGGAAGAGCATGTAAATTTACAGCCTCTAGGATGAACTAATTTTTACTTTTAATTTTTAAGTAGTAGAACTGAGAAATACACAAACTAAAGAGGAAAAAAGAGAAACGAAGTGAAGAATCCAGTGAGAAATGAAGGAGTGAGAAGAGGGATGAGGAGGGCAAGGATGAGCTAGTGGAAAAGGACGGAGGCTGGCAGCACGTGGGCAAGGCAGCCTTCAAGCAGAGAAAGGCTGGGGTCGCCGGCTGGGGGAGCTGCAAGGGGAGCTTTCCCATTCCTGTGCCAGTGAATAGGAATTACGTTAATAGTTCATTCTTGGGCTGGGGTCATGGCTCAGTGGTGGAGCACTTGCCTAGCATGTGTGAGGCACTGGGTTCGATCTTCAGCACCACAAAAGATAAATAAAATAAAGGTGTTGTGTCCATTTACAACTAATATATATATTTTTTTATTTTCTTTTTTAGCTGTCCATAGACCTTTATTTATTTATTTACTTGTGCTGAGACTCAAACCCAGTGCCTCACACATGCTAGGCTAGTGCTTTACCAATGAGCCACCACCACAACCCTAATAATTCATTCTCTCAGCAAGTATTTACCAAGCACAGAAGGCCCATCAGAGGTTTTTGTGGACAGCAAAAAATGGAACTGCCAAAATCCCTACTCTTGTGGGATGAAACAGATAATAAACAAGAAAATAAAAAATATGTCATTAGGTAATCAGTGTTTAGACACAAAAGAGATAAGGTAAGGGGATGGAGAGTGGAAGGAAGAAGTTACTTTAAACAGGACAGACACAGAAGGCTTCTCTAAAGGACGAAAGTTGAGGAATGACCTGAAAGGAGTAAGGGGCTGGGCTGGGCTGGAGGGCTCTGCTGAGGTAGGGAACAGAACTAGCCAAAGCCATGAAACAGAAGAACTCAGAAAGTCCACGCCAAGGGGACCCAAAAGGCCAGAATGATCTAAGCAAGAGAGAAAGGATAGAAAATGAAATAGAAACTTGGGGAGGATACGAGATCAGACAGGGTCTTACAGCCCAGTCTGAGTGACAAGAGAAGGCTTTGAAAGGGGTTGAGTAGAGGAGTGGCATGCTCTAACTTTTTTATTATTTTTTAAAGAATCACCTGGCTAGTGTGTAGCCACAGATTATACGAATGTAAGGGAGGAAGCATGGAGACCAGCATGGTGGTGCTTGTCATTTTCCAGGTGAGAGGTGATGACACTTAGATTACGGTGGCAATGATACATGTGGTGAGAAGCTCACTAGCTCGTGTCTGAAAGAACAGCTACACAGTTCTCACCAAAATGGCTACTTCTCTGGGTTTCTGTCTCCAACATCCAAAGCTTTTCTTCTGCTTCCAACTGGGACACCATATCCACTTTGAAGGGAAGGTACCCTATGAAAAGGTAGAGATACATATATTTAAGGTGAATACACAACTAAAATACATTTTTGCCTAAGTCATATAATCCTCAGTGGTATTTTAAGAACTTTTTTTTTTACATCAGGAACTATAAGAAGAAACTTAGGTCATGCCTAGTTCTCAGATGATATATTTGACATATATATGTATTAAATTACACTTGGCCAACACTGTCTTTCCCATCACTTATTCAAAGCGGTCACAGCGTGGGCTGTGGTAGAGAGCTTGCCTAGCATGTGTGAGGCACTGGGTTCGATCCTCAGCACCACATAAAAATAAATAAATAAAGGCATAAAAAATATAATAATATTTCTTTTTTTTTAAAAATTGTCACAGGGATGGGGTTGTGGCTCAGAGGTAGAGCGCTCGTCTAGCATGCGTGAGGTACTGGGTTCAATCCTCAGCACCACAAAGTAAAATAAAGACATTGTGTCTACCTATAACTAAAAAATAAATTTTAAAAAATGCTATGGATGAATTGTGAGTGGTTTTGATAAGGAACTCTGATATAATCTACCATCATATATTTCATTGAAATTGCCAGTACAAAGCCCTAAGTTTACTCCATGACCCAGGAGTGATTTACCACCATAATTTGAAAGATAAAATATAGAAGCACAGTTGCCCTTCTACAGTTCACCTAGAATATCTCTCAACTATGGCAAGACTTATCCTTTGCACTGGTGAATTCTGGGTTGTGGAGCGTTGTTCTATGCATTGCAGGCCCACATCCCTGATCACCACCCGTTAGATGTGACAACTGTGTCCAGACATTGCCAAATGTCCTCTGACAGAAAAATCACCGCAGCTGAGAACCAGTGATTCAAAAGAAAAGAATTTCACGTGAGCAAAACCACCACTAAAACCTATCCCTATCATCCCAGACATTAGAAATCACTTTGCCATCAAGAGCAGGGAACCATTTCAAATGGGACAAAGCCTTGAATATCTGAGGACACAGAGATACTCGAGAGAGTTGAAGTTCAGTGTCAGAGGTGCCTGTCCTCACCCACTGCAACCAGGTTCTTGAAATTCTCCACCATTACATCTTGGTACAGCTTCCTCTGAGTAAGGTCCAGCAGCCCCAGCTCCTCTGTGGTGAAGACCACAGCCACATCTTTGAATGTCACTGCCTCCTACAACATCAAACACACATAGCCTCAATTTTGCAGTTCCTCCAGAAAGAGTGCAGTACAAGTGTGGCACAGTGGTGCACACCTGTAATCCCAGCAACTCAGGAGGCTGAGATAGGTCATCCTCAGCAATTTAGCAAGACCATGTTTCAAAAAAAAAAAAAGAAAGAAAAGAAAAAAAAAAGTCTAGGGATATAGCTTAGTGGTAAAGCATACCTGGGTTCAATCCCCAGTACTACCAAAAACAAACCAAAAATAAGTATAGCATGAAAAGGATAAAAAGGATATTAAAATAATAATAAGTACATACAGATTTGAAGGGATCCCAGTCAGTTTGTTTAATTACTGTCCCTCCTTTAAGGTCCCCTACCCCCTCCCCCAAATTTTAAACTCTTTATCTGTTTTAAATGTTTGCAAAGTTCATAGGCCTTCAGCAATCCTCTAGGACAGTATATAGCTCTTCCTGGATGCTTCCAACTGCCAACTCACAGTTGGTTCAGGAATCAGCTCTGGACTCTCAATGCTGTCTAAATCATAAGGTGCTGGAAAAGACTAGGTAGGTGAATACATGTAAAGCACTTAAGACTGCACCACAGGGGCTTGGAAACTGAACAATTCACATCCCTGCTATAATCTCTTTCATGCCATTGTGAGTGCATGGAACAGTATTCCTTGGAACGATGTATATTTAACCAATCCAAATAATATACAATTAGTCATATGTTTTTACCTATAATCAATACTTCAAAGATTCCTTTATGGAGATCTTAGCAAAAAGAAGAGAGAAAGAAAGAGAAAGAGAGAAAAAGAGATATCTTGGCCAAGAAGCAGCAATTGCAAAGTAATAGAACAGACACTTTTAAAACTTTAAAAGCAGAATAGCAGAATGTCCCCCAGAAAAGTTTTCTCAATCCACTTTTCTCATGAATACAAGTGTTCTTGCATCTTTAAACTCGGCCAAATATACCTTAATTCTTTTTTAAAAAAACATTTCACAACATAAATAAATCTCTTTCTTAATATTCATATATATTATTGATACTATTTTTTATAAATTCACTTTATTTTTCAAGAAACCCCTATTTTTTTTCCCTCATAATCCAATTGGGTTTTATCTTACTCTTTTTAGCTTAGAAGGTACAGGATTGAACTAAGGGATGCTCTAGCACTAAGCTACACCCCCATCCCTTTTTACTTTTTTATTTTGAGACAGTTCCACTAACTTACTGAGGCTGTGATCCTCCTGACTCAGCCTCCCAAGTTGCTAAAGGTAAGGTGTGCACCACCACACCAGGCTATCCTACTAATCTTAGCAGAAAATTGAACTGTGGACCTTTATTTTGTTTAAGTATATCCCACCAGTTGGTTATTGTCTTGTAATATTGTGCCTGATATCTTGTGCTGAAGAAAAATTTAAAATACTTATATTAAACTGAGCTTAGGCATCTTAGGTTTTCAGAATGACTAAGACACACACCTAGCAGAGAGGAGACAAGCCCTTTGGCGAGACCCAAATGAAGGGCACCATTAAAGTTTATGTTTCAAAGGGTCATGCCAGGTGCTTCTATGATATGCACTCCAGGTTCTGAAAAATACTTTTGCCTTGTCTACCTCTTCATGAAAATGGAATGACAAGATATTCCTACCTAACAGTCAGAAGCTTCAGAGTCGAATGTACTGGTGACCTGGGAAAAGGTGGGCAGTTATATGATATTCCCACACCCTTATCTTCATGTTTAAAATGCAGATAAATCACCTACATATTCACACAGTGCTCTAAAGAATAAAGCAACTTCAGAAAGAACTGGTGAGGTATTTAAATACTATTAGACCTACCTATATACAATTGCTTTGATAAAATAAATATAAGAAAAAAATAGATGAGTGACTAAAACACACACACACACACACACACACACACACAAGAAAAACTATACATAGAGAAAATGTTCCTATAGTGTTCCTTAAAATGGTAAAATTCTTAAATCTCTTAAAAGTTTGAATAGGAATAATTTATTTTTTAAAGGGCATTCCAATACAACAGAATATAATATAGCCACTGAAATACTTTGATATAACTAAATGAAAAAAATAGTCAAATTTTCACCTATTCCATTACTGCAAATATATAGTGACATGAACTTGAAAAAGGAATACGGGAAAATAAAAAGAACTAGTTTACAAGCAAGAGAGCAATATAGATTATTTTGTTCTTAAAGTTTCTAATATCTTTTCAAATACTTTTTGTAAAATAGTGAAGATAATAAATGAAACAAAACACAAACATACACACACATCTAACATACACTGTGCACTCAAAGACCTGTTATTTTGCAGGACACAGTGGTGTACGCCTATAATCCCAGCATCTTGGGAAGCTAAGGCAGGAAGATTACAAGTTCGAAGCCAGCCTCAGCAACTTAGCGAGGCCCTAAGCAATTCAGCAAGATTCTGTCTCAAAAATAAAACATAAAAAGGGTTGGAGATGTAGTTCAGTGGTTAAGTACCCCTGGGTTCAATACCAGGTCAAAAAAAAAATCTGTTATTTTCCATCAGCCTTCCCAAAGAAGAGAAAAATATATACCTAATTGTTGAGACACAGAATCCCTTACCTGAAACTTGGTCATTTGTTCCTGTTCCTTCTGGGGAAGGTCAGATTCCTGAATAGGCATGTCTGAGGAAGGATGAAGAAGCTATGAGATATGAGATACAAGTTAGAGCTCCCACTACCTCATGTGGATTTTTGTGGAAATTATAGAAGAGTACGAGTGCCCCCACTTCCAGATAGATGCCACCACATAGTTCCATAATCAGAGCACAAGTAGATTCCGCCTACTTGGAGGCCTGTCAGCTCAATGCCAATTGGCAGTATGACCAACGAACACACCAAATGCCACCTACTGTAGGAATTTCTGGGAATGATAGGAGATGAAAGGCTAACATGTGGGCTAAAAAGGTTTTGTGTTCTGGAGCCAAATGCCAGGTTTAGTTTCTAGAAATGACAATTCTGAATAGCCCAGAGCATGTTAAGAACTCTCTCTGTGCCCTACTTTTGTCATGTGTCAATGAGGACAACAATCAAACATGGTACCTACCTCATAAAGCAGCTCCAAGTATTAAATGAACAGATGGAAAGTTCTAAGAACCAGGAGTCCCTTTCTCTTGTAGCTACAAAACAAAACAAAAAGATATTTTGCATCCTAAACTATACTTGCAAACGCTGTTAGTCTATAAAATCACCTTTAATTTCTGAAAAGTCTAACCCTGATTTAAAATATCTTCTTAGTTAATAATTTGTTGCCCACTGATAATATTTTACTGATACTGGTATCAGTTTTCTAAAAAGTACCGTTTCATGGTACTTCATGATATCAGAATAGGACCCCTTTAATTATTTTTAAAAGTTAAAAGAATGGCATAAGATTGCAAATTCTAAGCCAGTTGAGGATAAAAAGAAGGGGGAAAAAAATGAACCACAAAAAAACAACAACAAAAAAACTGTCAAAAACATAGAACAAAAAAGAAGAAACGTGAAGTGTGGTAAATTTAAAAATATATACAAATATAGTAGAAAAGAAATACACTTTAAGAAACAGATTCAATATCCCTGACTGCTCTTTAAAAATCCAACTGCTTTCTAAGAAACGTTTAATGACAAAAAAAAAAAAAAAGTTTGAAAGAAAAGGAATAGAAGGAGATACTGAGCAAATGTCAAACGCAAGCTTCGGCAGAGCTCATGGTAGAATTTAAGAAAGTGGCCTCATGTCTGTGATATGCTTTAAAAGACTATAGTTAAAATAAAAGGGGAGGCAGTTTGCAGCAAATGTTGAAACTGCTGGTTACTTAAGGATTCAGTAAATTGGAACACGACTTATTTGATGTGAAATCAGATTCAGTACTTACACCAATCTACGTAGTCCTCCGAAGAACGTGTGGACGTCAGGGTGAGACGTCATTAATAAACTCACTTCTGAGCCCTAGGCAGAACTCAGGTATTCGACAAAAATCTGGCCATTTTCCTCCTGATAATTTACAGAGAGAGAAGGAAACCCGGCTGATGGCAAGAGACGACGGAGCAAGGTCGTGCCTTCGGTTCAGTGGCAGCACCGTCCCTCCCTCCAGCTCCGATTCAGGGGTGAAGAAAAGGCTGCGGCGAAACTACGCCCTCGGCTTCCCGCAGGAGGCGGCGGCGGGTCGCGGCTTCTCCCAGGCGCCGCCGCCGACCTGAGCGTTGACCGGAGCCTCATCTAACTAGGCTCCTCCGCAGGGCCTGCCGGCTTGGCCGCTCTCCCAGAGGAGGAAACAGCGCAGAGATGGCAACGGCGAGCAGTCTCACACGCACCGCAGGAGCGCGGCTCCGTACGCGGGGAGGGCCGAGGGGATCCACGCTTCTGCCCTCCGCCTCTCCCGGCGGCCTCGACTTCTCCATGTTAAATCACCGGACTGGTGGCCGCGAGACTCGCGCTCAGACTGAAAAGGTTCCGCGGTTTGCTGTGGCTGCAGGCCGGACGGACTCACTTCCGGGACCAAAATATGGTGACGGCCTTGCTTTCCCCGGCGGAAGCGGCTCAGCCTACCCAAAACGCCTAAACTACACTTCCCAGAAGCCCCTAGGGGAAGGAACGCTGCGCGTCCTCTGCTTGATGACTTCCGGACGGAGTTCTGAAATACCTTTCCCAGAAGGCCCAGAGCGGGGAAAATGGAATTCCCTCTTTCAGAGAAAAAAAAAGTCTCCAAACTCTCGGAGATTCGGGTCTACGACTTCCAGAATCCTCTTCACGACTTCCAGTCCTTTTGCCAACCTGAAGCAGTTCCTGTTGACAGAGTTTAGATTTTTCTCACTAGCGAATAAATAAAAAGTAACAGCAAATATGAAAGTTGGAGATTGTAAGAAACATATCATGTAATCCTTTCCTAATAGAATTACACCCAGAACTACCAAGAAAAAAAAAAAAGCAATACCTTTTTAATTTTCAATGTTTACATTTAACAGGATTAACCAGTAGGAAAGATATTTTTTAGACACAGAGAATCAAAGACCAAAAATATGCAATGGATGCAGAATATTTTGTAGAATTCCACTTTTGTTAGTAGGATAAATAATTCTGAACTGACATGTTGAGCACAACTACACATAGAGTAGAACACACACACACTCACACACACGCACAAGCTTCAGCATAGACTTCTATATGCACTCTTCAAAGTAATTGAGGCCACTGGAATCATTTCTCAGGGAATTTCTCACTTGAAAAATGAACAAATTCATTAACTTCATCTTTTTAACATATTGTTTTAAATAGTTACACATGGCAGTAGAGCGCACTTAGTACATTATATATAATGTATAATTTCTCATTCTTCTGAGTTATGTGATGTAGAATCACACCAGTCCTATAAATATAAATGTACATAAGATAATAATGTCTGACTCATTCTACTATCCTTTCCTTCACTTCTCTCCCTTCACTCCCCTCTACTAAAGTAACTCTATTCTTCCCACTCCTCCCCCCTTGTGAATTAGCATCCAAATATTAGAGAAAACATTTGGCTTTTGTTTTTTTTTGGGATTTGTTTTTTTGGATGGATGATATTCTCCATCTTCATCCATTTACTGGCAAATGCCATAAATTCATTCTTATTTAAGGCTAAGTGATAGTCCATCGTGTGTGTGTGTGTGTGTGTGTGTGTGTGTGTGTGTATAAAACATCACTTTTTTATCCATTCATCTGTTGAAGTGCACCTAGATTGGTTCCATAGTTTATCTATTCTGAACTGAGCTGCTATAAACATTGATGTGGCTGCATCACTATAATATGCTAATTGTAAGTCCTTTGGGTATAAACTGAGAAGTGGGATAGCTGGATCAAATGGTGGTTTCATTCCCAGTTTTCTGAGGAATATCCATACCACTTTCCACAATGGTTGCACTAAATTTTCATTCCCACTAGCAAGGTATGAGAGTACCTTTTGCCCCATGTTGGCTTAACTTGGACTTCCTTAATAAGACTCCTAAGGCACAAGAAGTAAAATCATAAATCGATAAATGGGATGGATTTAAACTATTTAAAGCCATTTTCAGCTTGTCTAGTTTCAGAACCCATGGACTAGATCTATCAGGGGCTTTATTTCCTGTAAATATATTTCTGAAGATATATGCTTAGTTATTATCTGAGATTGCAAGTATTAGGGTAGCTTGGATTCTTAGACAAAAAGGAGGACTCCTTATTGAGATGCTGTGTTAGACCAGGACGCAAGAAAAGACCACTGACTCCAATTAAAATCAAATTAAAGCAAGCTTATTATTTCGACCGGCCGGGCTGCCTTTCCCTCCCAAAACGGTGGGAACAAAACAGCAGCCCCACCTTTCCTACAGCCCAGCTTTATAGCCCAGCAAGTTACACAAAAAGGGGGGTTACAGATAAC